AATATTTTATTACGAAAATTGAAAAAAAAAAAACACGGTATAATCAAATCTCTAAAGATCGACTGAAATGGTAAAAGTGGCGTCTTAATAATTGGACTATCTTATTTCGATCTTGATTTCAAATTTTGTAACACGAATCTTTAAGTGGAAATTACTTGTATTGATCTACGATTCGTAGTACACAAATTTTATCAAAGTCTTCGTTATCACGAAAAAGCGATCAGTTTATTTTATTATTAAATTTTTTTTTTTTTTTTGTTTTTATTGCATACAAAAAAAGCATAATCCATCCAGGCATCGTACAAAATTCATTAGATTTTTTTTCTACTCGCTTATTAATATATATATTTTTTTTCTTTTGCGTTTATACGATCTTACGCAAACGTTCTACTTGCCGAAAGAAAATCCGTAAAGAAAAATAAACCTTAAAATATTCGAGCACTAATTATTAACCAAGTTATTAACTAGTACTTTAAAAAAGATAAGGCACTGAAACGACGAGAAAAATGAAATTGTTCGGTAAAAGAAAATTTTCTGTACAAAAAATTCAGATTTTGTCAAAGAAATTGCCTGCCACTAAATATTTCAACAATGTTCAATATATATCTACCACATTCTACAGTTGGACATATAGCGTAAATAACAATTCTCAAATAAAGACGACGCTCCTCAGTTATAATTTTTTTTTTTTTTGTGTTTTTTTTTTTTGGTTTTTTTCTGTTATTTTTTTCTTTGCTTTTTTTCCTTTTTTTTTTTTGTCATCAAATGGTTAAAATTGTGTGAAATCAATCTCCCGGATGTCTTCCATCTTCACGATTACATCAGCGTGAAGTGCACCATGAATTACTTTTCTCACCGGATCTTCAGGCATGTATTCTAATTCACCATCAGAACTTTGTAAAACAAACTGTTTTCCTGCTGGAGGTGGTTTCTTAATCGCAAAAGACAAAAGCGAAGCGAATGTAGTCTTGTCAGTAATAGCAATGTTCTGCTTGTACACTCTATTCGGTGATCGGATAGTAACGGATTTGAGCTGTATGAATGTTGGTGATGGTGTTGAACTCTCTATATAAGATAATCATCGATTTTCATAATCATTATTAAATTTCTCAAGAAAAATAAGAAACTATATATGAATACATACGCGTACCTGGGCCTGAACTAAAATCGAGGCCTGGAATTTGTGGTAATCGTGGAGGGCTCTTCCGAGGAGTAAGAGGAGCCAAAGGTACTGCTTTTGATGATGTTGCATTAGTATCTGGTACCGCCAAAGGTTGCACAGTAGTAGTCACTGTTCAGAAAATAAATAGATAAATATAATCGAACCATTCCCATTCATTTCATGAACAGTGCAACAGAGTGTGTTAGTCACGCTACCGGGTGTTACGCTACGTTGTTTAGTATAAACAACTAATTGAACTCCTGCTTCTCGTTGATAATCATCCAAAAAAAATTTTAGGGCCCTATCATCATTCAAAGCATAATGTAGTTGTTCTTTATCCGAAGGATTTTGGTAGTATACGATGGATAGATCCACTTTCCCCCACTTTTTCGGAAGTTTTGCGTTCAAAATATTTGTGTAAAGTTGCTGAAGGGCATTATTAGGTTCGATATTTGGATCTATGTTTGTAACAGGAATTTTAATTTCACGTTCAAGTTTGATTTGGGGTGTTTGCGAAACGTCAAAGCAAACAAGCGTAACTGATGACGAAGAAGCTATCTCTATAGTGAAAATCGCCAAAAAAAGTTAAATAAATCAAGATCAAAAAATTTTGTTATTACTCTAAGTAATAATAAAATATAAACGGTACGATACCATTAACATCTTCATGACTTAGTTCATCACTTTCTTCGTCACCAGGTGTTAAGGTGGCTTTACGTGTACTGTTATATTTCTCTTCAATTCGTACCAATTCCTCTAAAACTTCACGCATCATGGGTTCAAATTCTTGAGAGTCCCACCCATGTCCAAGAGCCATGTTATAACTTTCAATATGTTGAAAGTATTGGTCAAGAGAATTTGCCTTGATAGTTCCCTGTTTCTTCTTGGCATCAATATATTCTTGTAAATATTGTTTTGTTACAGGGAAAAATAGCTCCACCGTAGGGTGAACACTCTTGAGCACGTTGACATAATTTTTAACACCACAACGTGAAGCTCGAGTCGTAAGACTTACGGACCTTTGGCGACGACGTGGTTTTGAAATATGAAGGTGCTTACGAGTGGCCGGCATATTCTTTTTTTTTTTTTAGGTCCTTTTTTACGGATTTTGTGTACAATAAAGTTCTGTCCTTGATATTTGTTGATTGTGGGGTATTTGTTTAGGCAAAGGTTAAGTTAGGCGTAAAGTTATAGTAAAAACCACTCTAGTTTTTTTATGTTAAAGAACAACTCTGAATGACTGAAAGGTTGGTTAAAGACATGAAAAGTTTTCAAGAGGGGTGAAATCTCCTCCCTTGGGAAAAACGCCACCCCGCCACGGATAACAATTGAACAATAGGGATAACAGAGACATTATCTGTTGTTAATATTTTGATTCAAAATAAATTAATAGAGTAACGTCATTCAATTGATGACGAAACAAACTTTAAAATCAAGAAAATCCATGATGATCTGTTCACAACAGTTGGTTGTTACTTTAACGTGTATACTGTGAAACTGTTTATGTGACAAAGGAAATATTCAAATAAAGGTTAGAATGATTAAAGTCTCACGCACTCTCTATGAGGCCCATTCTGTTTCAATAGATTATTTATTTTTTCGTATGACCAATAGGTTAAAAAGAGACACGATGTACAAGCCATACTAATCTATTTATAAATTTAAATATTAAATATTTTTACTTAATATTGTATTTTTTTTTTTTCCATCACGGAAAGAAATGGCAATTCCGATTCTTTGCGTGCATGATAGAAATCAATGTGAATCATTCAGCTGAACGAGAGGTGCACCGCACAAAAGTGGCACAAAATTTTGAATCATCACAAAGTTGCGTGCGCGAATCCTTAATATTGTTCTCTTTCAAAAAGGTCAGAAATAGGCATAAATGCAACAATAAGTAAGTGTAAGAATGTCAACGAAAGCTAAAGGTGCATCCCCGCGGGAAAGACGGACGCATTTAATATTTACGTGAATTCTTGTTTGTACACATATCTGCATAATATTAACCACTAAGATAATTAGTATTTTTTTTCACGTTTAGTTCATACAGTATCAGAAGAGTGATTTCATTGAACAATGTCAATAACCTACAACAATAGCGAACCATTGTGTTTATTTATGGATGTTAGCATCTGTACGTCTTTATTGCGTTGCGCCCTTGTTTAAATAATAACTTTTGATCGTTGATCAACGATTGAACATAATGTTGTTCCAAAATCCTTACCACAATCGTCCAAATTTTGAAACATAACGGGATATAAAGATTAAAGAATTTATGGTTCGGGAAACACGACAATTGTTTTATCAAACATGGTGGCACGATGTCCACGAGTGATGATGATCTTACCGTTCTATCTAAATTGCTCTTTCTTTCATGTAGTATCACATATACATTTTGTCATATGGTGTTGTGGAGATGTGGTCTTATTTTCAACAAAAGATCAATGTAAACGAGTCAAATGTTATACCTGATGTTGGGAACGCCTATTACAAATTAAGACTAGGGAGATTTCAAAAGGCATAGACATCACGCACTCCCCACGCGCAAAAATCACAATATGAATAGACAGTAATTAGATTATTTAAGGTAGTCACATGATCAGATTTTTGAAAAAATATCGATATATCCTATTTGTATCAAGAAATTATGTCCATAAAAGGTTTAGACATGCTTCTTTTCCAGGGATAACTATGATTATCAAAAGCCATCTTGCTTAATCCATTGAGGAAAATAGGAAAAAATTGAAAGCTCACGACTCTGTGGCTTGATTTATGAAACAGTACTGGTTCACGTGATATATCACTTGCCTCTTCCATTGTAACGGAATCACAAGATTGGGAACATTGATTCAACACCCCTTGAGCATTTTTAAGACTTTTAATGTGTCGATTTTAAAAATTTCAGCTTCTTTTACAATGGTATACACGGCCATAGACATCAATTTACTGGACTTTTTTTTTTTTGTTCGTATCAGCGTTTATTCTATAGATCCACTAATTATAGATTAGATTATTTTGCTTTAAAAGTAAAAATCTGATTAAATCTGATTATTTTAATACATATCAATCTTATTTGATTAGAAATAATTTATTTTAATAAGAAACATTGAATTTTATAAATTATTAATTGTAATCGTTAATTATTAAAAGCAGGTAGAGCCTTTCATTAAATATATATACAATAAGAACTACAGTATTTTAAATTATTATAAATTAAATTATAAATCATCAGTTATTGAATTATTATACGTACGTACGTACATACTTAAATAAACAATTATACGAATGTTGCTATAAATATATTTAAATATCACAATTATCTACGTATTCAAATTTATCGTTTAAAAATAGCAAAAAATAAAAATATATGAATTTATTTATTTACGTAGATTTCAATATTTTAGTTTATTGGTATATAATTGCTATTTGATTTGAATGTTTTAAATAAAGATAATTTATAGTAAAAATATAATCAAATTTATTAATATGTATTGGTTTGTAAATTTTAAAAAAATTAATCAATTAAGGGTAGAGGGTACTATTTTAAAATTATATTTAAACTTAATGGCAATTTTTTTTTATATTTAATTTTATGACAAAGTTTATTAAGTAAACTAATTTTAACTATTATATAAAGTTTGTAGAGTAGGTTTTTCTGATTCTAATGATAGTAAATTTATTAAAATTAATTAAAAACTTAGTAAAATATGAAGTTTTAAATATTAGATATAAAATTTTAATATTAAAATTATTTTAGGATAGTGTTATTTTTTATCACCTGATTATTTTTTATTAGAGAGCTACCCCTTCTCCTCTTTTAATATACAGTATAAAAAATCAGGTTCTTATATATAATTTTAACTTTTTTTACACCTTTTCTTCTAAAAAATTATCTAATTTTTGTTATGTTCTTTATAGCTTTATATAAATTAATCCAATTATTATAAAATGCACCTATTATATGTTTTTATTATGTTTTTTAAAATTTTTTAAGTTTTTATAAGTTTTGTATATAAAATTTTTAAC